TCTCTCTCTCTCTCTCTCTCTCTCTCTCTCTCTCTCTCTCTCTCTCTCTCTCTCCTTATGTCTCTATTTACGCAGATGTATATGCCCGTGGATTCTCGCCCGCCTTCTTCCGGTAATTGAGGGTGATAAGGCACATTCAATTTGTGCGTAGAGTCGTAGAAGATAGCGGTGATTGTGTGCGTGAAGACACTTCACGTAGAGATTGGGAGGGTTTTACCAATACGATGTCAATGAGTTCTGAAAGGTATGGGAAAGATAAGCAGCGCGTTGGAAGATGCTGCGGGCGCTGACCATATCCAGCGAGAGACTTTGACACAGGGAAGAGAGCAGAGCAAGAGACAGAAGAAAGATGAAAGAAGAACACACAGAGAAGAAGATGGTTAACGCGTTGTACTGTTGGTGGGTTTGGGGTCTGATCATCTTCCTCTTCTTTTTGTTTTTAAAAGGGTCTCCTTATCTTCAGATTTTTCAGATTCTTCAGATTTTTCAGATTCTCCAGGATTTTCATATTCTTTATATTCTTCAGATCTTTCAGATTCTTCAGATTCTTCAGATTCTTCAGATCTCTCTCTTCTCTAAGGAGACAATCTGAGAACAGGAAAATGAAAGAAAAAGAAATAAAAAGGAAAACGAAAACAAAGCGGCAGATGCAGAATTTTGACTACCTGCCAGCAGCCAGGTGGTTTACACAGGGACAAAAAGAAAGAAAAGGAGCAGAGGAAAAAAAATGTAAACGGAAATTATACCAGAACCCAGCCCAGGTGGGTGAGTGTTACAGCCACGTGATTAACTGTTGATACAGAGACCAGTGTTCTAGTCCTGATGAATCCAAACCAATGAAATAATTCTGAATGACCTTGTCCGGTTAAAACACACACACACACACACACACACACACACACACACACACACACACATATCCCTACGCAAACGCACAACGAAACAAAAGAAATCGATGATAGATACACCCTCCCCCCCACACACACACACACATCTACACAAACGGACAACGAAAAGAAAAAACCGATGGTTAATGAAGATTACAGCAACGACCAGATTCACGAGTGAATTATGCCGGCAGATACTAAGCCAAAACATGCTGAACAAGAAAGCACGACAGAAAAAAAGAAGTAGGAGTGGTTTACAAAACGAAGCTAAGAGAAGAGGAGTAACTGGACCAAATAAATAAATAAATAAATAAATAAATAAATAAATAAATAAATAAATAAATAAAAACTCAGGTAGCGGAAGAGTGTAGCAAATACCGAACTCAAGAATGTGGGTACCTGTGTGTGGCAGAGAGGTGATTATCTTGGTCAGCAGCAGGATACGCCAGCGTCACAATCTTCGAGTTGGAATACATTTTCTTGGACCTCGAAACGAATATATAAAAATAGAAATCTCCCGTCCACGTCATCTCTATCTGGATGGGGTGCATATTCCTCATACGGAAAGACTCACCAACAGCAATCCAGCGCCCCTCGTCTTCTTCTTCTTCATGTTCTTCCCCTCCTAGTACTCCTACTCTTCCCCCTCCTCTTCCTCCTCCTCCTCCTCCTTCTTCTCCTCCTCCTCCTCGGCAGCCGCCTCCCCTTCCTCCTCCTCCTCCTCCTCTTCCTGCTGCATCCCCTCCTTGAAAGGCGCCCTTTGCATCTCGAATGCGAACCTCAGCAGACAGCTGGGAAGAAGAACGGGATCCCAACGCAATCGCCTTCTGCATGCAGTCATGCACGTCCACGTGGACTCTCGATCTCAGCAATTGATCCCGATCCCAACTAGCAGCGCCCAGCGGACTGCTCCCGTCGATCGACAGCCTGCCCGTTGCCTCCTGGTCAAGACGTTCATCGTCCTTCCTGCCCGGCGTTCCCGCCAATTCCCCTGACGTGGCAGCTACTGCCGCTGCGTCCTTATCCAATCGCCGCCGCTTGTTTCCCGCCAAATCCGACTTCCTGTTTGCCGCCTCCCTCCACAAGAAATTCGTATACTCCTCCGATCCACAGCAGGTGTCCATCACCGGCAGCATGTTCATTGCGGTCTGAAGTTTCACTTTATATTCAGCGTTCTTTCGCAGATGTTCTCTCGCCGCGGGGCTCTTTCCGTCGTGCCGAATTGCACTCCAAAGCATCTCCGTCATTGTGCGACTTGATTCTGATTGCGGTCGCCAGCTTTCGACGTGCTGTGCGGCATCCCTTGCCACCCTCTCGAACTCCGCCACCTCCTCCTCCCAATTCTCCACCTCCTCCGACCTCCTCTCTCTCAGATCACTCACCATATCGCTGACTTTGCCAACCATGCCTTGGAGATCCGCATTGTCCTCTCTCACCTTTTCATTGCTGTACTCATAGCTAACCCTTTCCCATTGATCCAGAATCTGCTGGGCCAGCTCCCGTAATTCGGCAACCCCCCCTAGAAACCTGGCGATTGCTGTAATGGTGTTCCAAACGGCGCCAAAATCTTCGCCGTTAGAGAAAACGGCAGCAACATCTCTCAGGATTCTCTCTAAGATTGCCCGATCCATCTTCTTCTCCCCCCCCTCCCCCCTTAATTACTCTTTGTCTTTAGCAACGATATCGGGACCAATCCATCATTCTGTTCACCGTATTTGTTTATTCTATAATACTATCAATAAGAATAAGAATAAGAATAAGAAATAGGATAAGAATAAGAAAAAGGATAAGAAAATGAAAAAGAACAAGAAAAAGAAAAAAGAAAAAAAAAAATACAAACCAATTTTGAATTACCAATTATCGCAGCCTTGGTAAGATACATTGAATCTGGACTGGAATAGATTTTGTCCATCCTTTCTTCTACGTTTTCTGTTAATTACAATCATTGTCTAATCAATACAATCAAAAGTTATATCACCCATCAGTTGTTGGCGACATGAGTTTGATGAGTCGAACACCAATTCTCAATCCGAGTCGTTTGCTCGATCAAAATTCTTTCGCCGAGTGAGATTATTATTTTGCTGAGTCAGATATTACTGCTCTCAATCAAGATTCTTTTTTTTTCGCAGATTCTGAATCCTGTTTCGTCTGCTGAGCGTCCGATTCTTTTGCTGAATCAGATTCGTTTCCATCGTCAGATTCATTTGCTGAGTCAGATTTTTTCGCTGAATCAGATTCATTTTACTTGTCAGATCCATTTGCTAAGTCAGATTTCTTTCGCAGGACAAAAGTTATTTTGTTGAATCAGACTTCTTCACGCTCAATCGCATGAATGTTTCTTTAGATAAACCAGATTCGTTTGCTCAATCCGATTGCTGTCGCTGATTCAGAGTCTTCAGACATTACTGCTCAATCTGATAAACCAGAATCTTTTGCTCAATCCGATTTCTGTTGCTGATTCAGATTCTTAGATAAACCAGATTCTTTTGCTCAATCCGATTTCTGTTGCTGATTCAGAGTCTTCAGATTCTTTTGCAGATTCTCACTTTTTTTTTTCCTACCAAACAGTAAAATTGAAATTTTACCTCACTTGGGGGTTGAATCAGAGCTCCGCGGTAACTCAGGCTCGAAGGTACGGTTAGGTACTCTATACCACGAATCCGATTCGCAGCCTAACCTCCAGACCAGACTTCAACCGAGCTTTGGCAGCCGAGAGGATTTTCCCTCCCCCTCCCCCACCCCCGCCCCCCCGTCCCCCTCCCCTCCTCTCCCGCGCTTACGCCTTCGCTTCATTGCCCCAAACATCCCCCGCCCACACCCCGCCTGCCCCCGCCATCGCTTTCGACACCATCCCCTTCCTCAGGCCCCGTCCTCTGCAGCCCAGGGGTATTATCCTCTGCCCTCTCCCGCTCTTCTGCCTTTCAACGGCTGCCTCTCTTCATCTCCCTCTCAAGCCAAAGAATAGAGACGAGCCGTAGTAAAACAAGAAGTGAGTCGAAAAAAAGAGACCCCAGGTCGCCAGACGACCCCTGAAAGGCACTGATCACGCCCCTCGTTCGACGCACAAAAGTCAATCGCGGTCCCTCTCTCTGATTTGAAACGCAGAACTCGTTCGCTCACATCCATATGTCACACTATAAAAGTATAGCTCTCTCTCCCCTTCGCTTCGCCTGCTCGATCAACTCCTCTATATACGCACAGCGAGAGAGAGATAGACACAGACACAGAGAGAGAGAGAGAGAGAGAGAGAGAGAGAGAGAGAGAGAGAGAGAGAGAGAGAGAGAGAAGGTGATCAACTGCTCGAAGATCGTCACTGACCCGCGACTTGAATTTGCGTTCAGAATTCAATTTCGCGACCCCGATGTGTCATCCGGTCGAGATTGTTGGATGATGACGTACGAGAGCCGTCACACAACTGTGTGACTTGAGTGACGATCGGTTTCCGGACGCACGTACAGTCTCAAGAGATGAGTACACTCATAACAGGTACTTGCCTGAATGAATATGACCACGATTACAGACGATCCAAGATGAATCTGACGGCAATTACCTCCAAAGATCAGTAGTTGTTAAGGTCCTTGCGTGAGTATTTACTGAGTTACGTTTACTTTGCAATCTACTGTACTTTTACGTGCGCTCGACCTATACACTACGAGACCCCGTAGCCAGCACCTACACCTCCACGTCAGCCGGGCAGCCCCCCTCGATACAGCTCGATGGCTATGGCCGACCTGAGACCTCTGCTCCCCCACGACCACTAGACATCACTCGACTTCCACGGTACTGCAAGATCGTCGTCCGTTGGGCCTCGCCGCAGCGCACACTCCGCCAGAAAATTGAATCATTCATTCGCTTGCTATAAATAGTAAGGAACGTATTTTGCCACCTTCTGTGGGCAGGTGCAGTGTTTTTTTTTTTTTTTTTTTAATGTTTCGTGCCCCGTGCGGCGAGGCCCTTTCACAACATACCTTCCCTTCCCCTACATGCATTGCCCGCAGTCCCCTCCAACCATCCCTCTCTCCCATTGCTCTGGAACAGCTTGCGGAGCGTCTGCACCCGGCGGCACCTTCTATTCCCCCTGGAAGACCCGTTGCACATCGGACTTCTCACAGCCGTAATGCCCAAGCATAGCGCTTTTTGTTAGATCGGCCCACCTCTGCGAATGCCGACCGGTCGATGCTGCCCCACTCCTCCTCGCTTTTCCAACTACCAGGATCTGGCCAGGTTGTTTTTTTTATTTTTTTATTTTTTTCCTTTTTTCTTTTTCATTTTTTCTTTTCATCATTGAGCTCACCGGCCCCACGGAATTCAGAAATATCGTTCAAACACCAATCCCCATGGCCCCTGCGCAAGGATGACACGCATAAATCGAGAAATGGTCCAAAAAAAAAAAAAAAAAAAAAAAAAAAAAAAAAGGAATTCAGAAATATGAGTCGTTTTGTTGGAAAAAAAATAAAAAATAAAAAAGAATTCAGAAATATTTCGTTTTACTCATCAGTCAAATTCCATCATCCGGATTTGAACTCGGCCCTGTAGTTCAACAAGTCATGGGTGTACCCACTGAGCCAGGCTTTTCTCCATTCGCATGTCACCAATGAAGGCATAATCCACCGGCCAGCTCAGTTGGCAAGGCACGCAAGGGGCATTCAGGAGGGTACAGCAGCAGCAGAGACGGTGGCTCTGCTGCAGTAAGACTTGCCGGGGCCAAGTCCCACTTACCCGAATTCTCAATTTCTGCCCGTAGATTCCACAGATCAACGGCCAGATATGAAGAATGAGCGTAAGTGGGACTTGGCCCCCGGAGTGAGGTAATGAGGATGGAGGGGGGTCTGAGTCATTTCCTGAAATTTTGCCTATCTTGACAGTAGTTTGTTTGTATTTCTTACCCAAAAGCAGGGTAGTGGCCCCGGTACAGCAAACTCTCAAGTTTTTCAAATTCCTATGTAATTTTCTATATGGGATGCTGGGCCAAGTTCCTAGCACGTGTTGCTCCCCGCGAATAGATTGGGAAAAGAAAAAAAAAATCCCCATTGGCCTCATGCACTTTGCTGGCCAAGTTTGGCACCCGGCACCTAGAGATAGGCCCTTGGTTCCCCTGAGAGCCGAGAGGCACTGAGCAGAGACTGCTGATGTTCGTAGGGGGAGGGGACGGAGGCGGAGGCACAGCAGCTGGCCCATCGAAGAAGCTCGGTCCGGATGCTACCGGCTGACCCCTGGCCAGTATCGCCCACCTGCAGGTTGGACGCAGGCCCCCCATGTTCCATTGGAGGCTCGAACTCGGCTCAGGAGTTCCCCATAATGCTACAATGGTGTTGTTATGCATGATCCCTTTTTTAATTTTCTTTACACTACAGCCCAGGTGCAGTGTAGTTTTGAGATCCCACCCCTTTCGAATAACCTCCCTGCTTTTCGTTTGGGTGTAGTGGCAGCACGTCCGCGAAGGACGCAACTCCCGTGTAGTGGCAGCACGTCCGCGAAGGGCGCAACTCCCGTGTAGACTGTGAGGGCTTCACGGCCTCGAAAAAGAGGGAGCAATTTTGTTTTTCTTTCCATATTTTTTGCTTCTGTTTGTAGAGGTTGGAATGTCCGAGGTCTGTGAACCTGGGGCTACCCGCGCCACATCCATAAAGAGTCGCCACAAGTCCAGGAAGACCACCAAAGAACTCGGCGCTTTGGAATCCAATTTGTCTTTTTCACCCGGCCAGGGTGGCTGACATCTTCATAGTACTTCACCACTACATTGGCAGTGTAGTGGTGGGATCAGACCCTAAGCTACATTCTTCTCTCAGTTTCACCTCCCAGTACCTACCTACCACTACTCCTAATTATAGTCATACGGGGAACCGGTAGCAGCCAGAACCGTGTTCACAAGAGAACATGGGCCTCGCCACACTACTCCCGACTTGGAAAAAAAAAGGCCATTTTCAGGAGTGTGTCATCGCCACACCACCTCCCGACTTGGAGATGTCAGAATGCATTTGGGAGAAGTCAGAAATTTGTGATCGAGACCACTCCCAAAACAGCTTGGGACTCCTGCCTGCAAATGACCATTTTCGGGAGACCTCACACGGGGGCCCATGTTTCGACAGGAGAACTTGTGAGGTGATTCGCAGCAGACAAGCGCCCTCCTGGCCTCTGAATCGGAGAGCTGTGACGCCCAACCTCACGCCCAGCGCGACTTCCTGATCGGAGTGGGATGGGGACCCGGAAGTGCGAAAAAGGTGGTGTGCCAAGAGTCCCTAGACAGAACTGACTCAACTGAGATCTCCTGTGGCAAGTTTCGGGGGTAAGAGGGCAAGTGCAGGCCGTGCGCGGCATGTCAGGTTGCACGAGCGAACAGACCGCCTTTTAGACTCAGTGTAAAGAAGGGGAAGCCGCTGATGTCGTGCGGCATAGGTCAGATGGCATGTGCAGGGTAACCCAGGGATAAGAGTCCCGACGCATTCACGTCGTTAAGAACTCTAAAGAATCTTGCATTTTCGAACAAAATCCCCCACGGCATTGTCCCTGTTGTCGATCTCGATTATGTTTTGTTATGCCTTAGGCCCGAGAGAGGGGAACTACCATCTCCTCTGGTTTCCCCTTTGCGGTCGGTCACGGACCTGATGGATAGGGTTGTCTGATCAACTGTTGTCGTCGATCGCTACGAACTTCGGAATCAGACGATGAGGGTCTCAGCTAGAGGTTGCGTGCCCGCCGTTCGGACTCTGTTCGGGTTCGGCGAACGAACCCCGAGGCTCGATACTTGCTGTCTCGCTGGCACTCAGAGCAGGGGGTTCGAGGCCAATAGGGAGCAATAGTGTGCCACGGAATGACGGTGAGGTAATGGAAGGGCAGCACCACTCGGTACAGTGGGCAGTGAGTTATTAGGACGACGACCCCAAGTTTGGAGAAGACGTGGCTCGTGCGGGACTTGGGGAACTGGGTTGTGTAAAGAACAGCTTCCAATGCCCTTCCTATGTCCCAGTCGCACACGCGTTCGTCTCCTCGTTGGTAAGGGAATCTCGGAGGGTCCGGGCGGGGCTGAGCGAGGAAGTACGCATTCTTTCGTTCCCAATATTTCCGATATTCGGGGTCCCGCAAGCTTTCGCGGTCCGTAATGCAAAACATCCTGTCAATTCGGCAAAAACGCCGTCATGGCCCGCGCGCAGATCTTGCAGACACGCGTGTACGTGCCATCCCTTTTGGTCGGGCCTACACATGCATGCACAGGATCTGTTCACGGCTAAGTGAGGGGCTGGTTTCCGAGTGAGCAGGAGTGGGCGCAAGCGAGGATCGGTCATAAGATGCGATCTGGGTTCGCTTTATTCAAATTTCGTCACTTTCTAGTGCCCATCATCGCTGCCCTCTTCCTGCCTAGGACGTATGTCGCGTGCGACGCCTCAGTCTCTCACTAATAGTCAATCGCGAACAACTAATTATGAGTCCGCACGAGCAAGACTTCTGCGTACAACTATGTGTTCTATCATTACGCATTCATTAAAACACGAAATTCCCCTCAGACTTATTCATGTTTAGCTACGGCGAGGAAATCGACAAAACTGCGTATCTTAGATCGAAGGGAAAAACGACATGCATTCAAACAGAAACCACCGATCTTGCAAGAAATTGAGAAGTGCAATCACGTCGCAAACAGAGAGTGAGAAAGTATGAGCATTCATCGGACCGTCACTTATGCAAGCTTGACAGAGTAGGAAACAAATGATAACGCATACCAAAATGCAAACATAATTCCCAAAGAAAATTCGAAGTCACCACAACAAAATTGGCCAGGGCGGAAATCCAAAATTTATATAGGAAGGTTGGACGAAGAAGAAACAAAAGGAAAAAAAAAACACCATCCCGATCCGTCTTCTCTCTCTCTCTCTTTTTTTTTCCGTTGTGGGCAGTTCGTCGCCTCGCATCAACACCCACGATACCGGCAGTCCGTCGTCGCGTATCTACACCGAGTTGTGACCCCGCTTGGCTCAAGCATGCAAGCCAGGTTCGCCCGTGCGCCACAGTCCGTCGCAGCCCCGCACGTCAACCCCGCATACCCAACACCAGCTCATCGGATCGCTTAACTCTCACACTCACTCACCTTCCAACTTGCTCGTTAGCCGACCCTCACTGATCGCGTTAACCTCGAAATTCTCAGAGAGCGAACTAATCACGCTTGCGGAATTTATAGCATGCATGCTCGCGCGAGGGATACGGGATTAGCACCAAGAGATGAAAAGGAGAGGAGAGGAAGTGCCTACGTCTACATGTCCAGGTCGCGGCGCGAGGGACGGAGCCATTCTCCGCACATCGATCCAAGCATGCAAACGTGGGAACTATTTAGAATAGCGGAAGAGAGTATGCATGCGAAGACGAGTCGGGAAAGAAGGAAACACAAAGGTCATCACGGACAAGAAGATTACAGTTGCGAATGCGCCCGCCAAAAACTACAGTTACACACAGGATTAAGGCGCAGATGGAATCAGAGCCCAGACCCTGTCAAGGCACAATGCGTGCGAGCAAGAAGCGCCGTGTAGCCGAATTCCAAAGTGCCTAAATTCCTAGTCTAAATCCTTATTGGAAAAGAAAATTCCAAAGAAAAACAATTCCGAGAGTCTGCTGGGGATCGACACTTAGTTCGGATTTTTAAAGGCGAAAATCCCCACGCGCTAATCGCGCCAAAATTCCTAGTGCTCACACAGCAGAACAAGAAAGAAGTTATGCCAACCGTTACTTCTCGCGCTCGCTAGGGCGCGGTCACTCAATCGTCGGTGCGGGGCTTTCCCGGCACCGTCCTAACGAATTCCAACAAAAATGAAAAAGAAATGACGGCATCCACTGGCATGCAACTTGCCCCACCCTGTCCCTGCTTACACCCGTCATCCATCAAAGCCCTCCCGTTTCCCCACAGCAGCCTCGCGCAGGAAGTCGGGCGGTTATAGAAGATAGTTCGTCACATATGTGACGCCCAGGGCGTTCCAATTTTGAGCAAGCTCCCGCTTGCTCTCTCATCAGACGTCGATCCATGATTGGATGGTCGACGCAGAGCTTACACGTGCTACACCGTAGGATCCGAGTGTGGAAGTCATCCAACGTGGCATTCATGTGCTCAATCAAGAATGGTCCCGGGGTTCAGCGGGAAAGGGTAGTCTGATTACGGGCGGGGGAGGGGACGGATGTACATGGGGAAGGGGAGGCATGAAGCTATACATCTCCCTATCGTCAGAAGGGAGCGGGATGTAGTAGATGGAGCGATGGATACGAGGAAAGCGACTCTTTCAGCGAGGGTGCCGTCATTGGTGGGGGAGGGAAGCGAGGTAGTCGGGGTAAAAGGTGGCGATGGTGCGACGAATGGCCGTGCGGAAATTGTCGTAATCCTCGCACGCAGGGATCGTGTCAGAGATGATGCAATAAACCTCCATGTGATTGAATTCCCGCCAATCGACGCTAAAGAGTAGGATATGGAGCGGAAACGAAGTGACGAGCGAACGGGTAGTAGTGTGAGGGAAGATGGTGATTAGGAAGCGGGTGGCATAGTGATGATAGAAGAGGGGAAGAGGGAACGGATGCTAGTTGTTGGGGAACGAGGGTCGACCTACAAGCTGCTGGATGGTGAGGAAGTCATCGGGACGAAGCCCGATCGCCCGCATTTCGACGTAAACGAAGGGCGGCACGAGGGGGTGAGGAGGATTGAGAGGGGGATCCACTTCTTCGGTGGCGGCGGCTTGTTGAGGGCCCGGTTCCGGCTTCTCCATCTCTCTTGTCTTCTTCCTGCGGAGCAGCGGAGGCTCCGGATTAAGCGCAGGATTTCCCTGCAGCAGTTGCGGTGGCAGTCTTGAGTCCTCGACCGGACGTTTGCCTTCTGCCTTTTCCCCCCGCTTCTATTCCTCAGCTTCCTGCTCCTCACTCGTCAGCTCAGCTGCTTCACTTGAATCAGTTGACGTGGCTTCCTCCTCCGAGTCGTCCTCCTGTTCCTCGTTGTCCTCCCCCGATCCAGCCTCTCCCAACACCTCGTCGTCGAACTCTCGATAGTCAGGATCGTCGTTCCACTCTTCCTCTTCCACCGACTCTTCGGATTCTTCTTCCTCCTCTTCCTTTACCTCCTCACTCGTCTGTCCTTCAGGGACGCGTCGGACGAGCGGGTCCCACGTGGACAGATCAGTGATCTCAACTGTCAGAAACACGCCCCTCGGCGGCAAATAGTAGCTCCCCTCATCCAACTCCGTACACGTGGACCACAAGAGGTGAGGTTCCAAGGAGCGGGTAAGCGTCTCCGTTTCTGGCCTTTCGTCGCAACGTGACAAGATCTCTAGCGGCAGATCGTCCAACACTTGGACTAGGACCACCAGCAACTCGCTCGTGATGGCGCTCACTTCCCCAAATATAATTCCCAGAAAGTCTCCCTCCGTACCTGTTCTCCACGCTTGAACGAGGAGCAGCTCCACCTCATCATCTGAAACCTCTCCCTCAACAGTCCGATCTGCAGGCTCGGCCCAATGGAATGCGACGTCGAGAAGGCAGAAGTTGAGCGCCACGTAAGGTTGCCACTGCCACCACCGGCCCTACGGCAGCGCGCTCAAGATTGGCACGTTCAGGTGCTTGACCGTGAAGGATAAGGATGTATCCTCGGCAAACTGCCAGAACACGGGGACATCCGAAGGGAGGGTGAAGGTGCAGAGGCGATGACGGTTCATCGAGGCGGGGCGAAAGGAAGGAGCTTAGGAAGGTCGACCTCTGGCGCAGTGAGAGACACCCTAAGCTGAAGGTCGATGTCGTTGGTCGTTACGACCCGATCGCGCGGTCGAGCCAACAATCGTACCCACACCCTCGTGATATCCGTCGCTCAGGCTCGTAAGATCTCGGTATGGAGTGCCGGATGCAGGGAAGTAAGGTCGCCTGTGAAGACGATGATGACCGACACGTGGCTCTCTCCCGGGGGAGAAAGTCGCAAAAAGGCCGACGCCTCAGCCAACACACGTGTCTCTCCAGCTCGCGTGAATCGAAATTTGGCCACCTCGTGAATGACCGCCGTGCTGACCAAGGCAGCGAATGAGGGTAGATCTGGACTCACTCGGGGTCGCCGCACTTGCCGGATCGATAATATGCAACCACGGGGTTGCATCAAATGCTCATTGATGACTGGCTCGTTCAAAAAGCTCATGGCGATGGCGAGGGGGACGAAGGCTGAGAAGTAGAGGAATCAAGATAGTCGAAGTGGTCATCTTCCTCCTCGGGATCGAGGGACAACGTAGGCGGTGGAGAAGAAGGGGAAGAAGGAAGAGGACGAAGGTAGGACATGTGGCGAATGATCGGACGAGCCGATCGGCTTCCCAACCCCTCCGGCGCAAGCCGCACCGTGTTCATCCCGCTTGGACCAAGCTCGACTACGCGAAATCGGCCAAAGAATCGTGGCGCTAGCTTACCTTGACTAGCACATTTCCTCACCTGCACTATGTCCCCTAATTTCTACTTGGGTCGGGGACCCGCGTTCCTGTTCCGGGGCTCATAGCTTCGGACCTGTCGGCCATGGGTCATTTCCGTCATACGCTGTGTCTTTCGGGCCAACCGGGGGAAGGTCCTTTCCATCAAATCCAAATGATGTTGGGCCTTGTCCTTAACTGTCGCTCTAGTGGCCCTTCGGGGAAGGGTCATTTCATCGTTTAGGCTCAGTAAGGTTACACACGGTAGGCTATTGGTCTGTAACTGGAACGGCGCCAGACCTGTGGATTCGTGGGGTGTCCACCAATGAATCGCGAGGATATGATCCACGATATCTGGCCAAGGCCTCGTGTCTTTGACCTCGATATTGCGTCACAATGCAGTCTTAATTACCCGGTTCGCATTTTCTACGAGCTCGTTCGATTGCGACATATGGGGAGCAGTATTGCGAATGGAGACACCGTGTAGGACCAGGCTCCTCAAAACCCTGAATTCCGCCCTATTGTCCGTTAAGATTTCCTTTGTATCCTGGTGCATGCCAAGGAAACGGTTGACGTATCGCGCGATTTCCGCCGCCTGTCTCATCTTACAAGGATACGCATCGATCGATTTAAAAAAATGATCGACAAAGACTAAAAGGATTGAATACTCGCAACTATTCGGTCCAGGGGGCACGACAATATCCGTCGTATCCATGCTAACCCTTTAAAATGGTCGTTGGAGTTTCGTGGGCACTATCGACCTAGGCGGCTGAATCGGCACCTTGTCAGCGGCGTAGACTTGACAATTTTGGACGATGAATTTAACATCGTCGTGAATGTTCGACCGATACCACTCGTTCTTATCGATTGCGGCTTTCGTGATTCTGAGAGCAAAATCCGCGGCAGTTTCCTCATGTGTTGATTTAACCCAGTCATACCTCATGAACGGATGCGGGACAGACATCAAAATTCCGCTACCATCCGTTTTTGGTTTTCCTTATCGTCCTTCGTTCCATTGATAATCCCGAGCCTACTCATTGGCCCGTCTCCGATCCTCTTTTGTGAAGTCTCGGAGGGGGTTCCCAACCACTGTAGCTATTAGGACGACATTTGTCCAAACCTCAACCCTCCTAAACCGTCGAGTTTTTTCTAACCCTTCAGATGTGGCTTCGAGGAATTGAGCCTCCGTCGGCATCTTGTCAGTTCGACATAGGGGACATAACCAGGACTTGGCCGTACTCCGGTACAAAATACATGAGCCATGGGCTTGGGAGACACAGTGCTGGCAGTCCACCCATTCGACATATCCTTCCCCGCTAGGACGCATAGGGACCGAATAAACCCTCAAAATTGCTTCACAAAAATAGCAAAATTTATCGGGCAGGGAGAGAAGAGATAAAAACGAAGGGGGAGAAAGAGGGCTTCCGGAATTACCTTCGTGCCCCGTCGCCATTGCAACCACCAATCACTTCTTAGTAGGTCGAGGAAGGATGGCCACCTGCCCGTACGAGGGCTCGCCGTTCGGCTCTGACTCTTTCCACCACGTAATCTCGTCACCCTTGGCCACTTTGTTGGGTCGATGCAATCGTGTCAATCCGTCAGCGTTGTCGTGCTTCTCTGTCTTCCGGTGGATGATATCGAAATCGTATTCTTGCAGTCGCACATCCCAATGCCCAGTCATGCTCGTGTAGTTGGTAAGCTTTTTGAGAGCCAGCAAGGGTTCATGGTCCGTGACGAGGAGGAATTTATGCTCGTATAGATACAAATGGAAATGCTGCATTCCCCACACGACAACGTAACATTCACCTTGCGGAGCCAAATCGTTTCTCCTCTCGTCTGGCACCGTTCGCGAGGCGTATTCGATGACGTGTTCTCGGTCGTCGTTCCCCTTTTGAGCTAAAATAGCGCAGATCGCTTCAGGCTGCCAGTCCGTAATGAGTATGAACTCTTTTTCCGGATCAGGCCGAATTAAGATAGGTGTCGTAGCCAGCGCCTCCTTCAGGGTGACAAGGGTCTGCTGGCACTCCGCGTCCCAGTTCAGTGGCTGGTCCTTCCACAAAAGATTCCTAAGGGGTCGTGCGATAGCAGCAAAACCCTTGATAAATCGACGGTAGTACGAGGCCAGTCCCAGGAAGGTCCGAACTTGCGTCTGTGTGGTAGGCGTGGGGGCTTCACGGACGGCCGCAACTTTCCTCGAATCCGGTTGCAATCCCCCCTGCGTCACTACGTACCCTCAAAGCGAAATTTCCGAAAGGAAAAATTCGCTCTTCTCCAATGCGATCTTGAAACCAGCGTCCTTCAATGCTCTGAGTGTCCACTCAATGTGCTGAGTATGCCCGTGGAACGATTCCGAGTAAACCAGGATATCGTCCATGTACACAATGGCGCAAAAATTAATCATTCCCTGCGTCAACCTGGTCTTGTTCACGAAATTCTGAAATGTGACATTCATTGCTCTTTGAAACGTGGCGGGTGCATTGCAAATCCCCATCGGCCAACTAATCCAATGCCAGGTACCCTCAAATAACACAAAGGCCGACTTTGGCCGATCCTCCTCCTTGACCAGAATGTGATGAAAATCATGACGAATATCGAACTTGCTAAAATAATTAGCATAGCCAATTGCATCCAACAAATCATCAATCCGGGGAACCGGATATACATCCTTGATCGTGATATCATTCAATTTTCGATAATCAATACAAATACGAATCGACCCATTTTTCTTTGGAACTAACACTACCGGAAACGACCAGGGTCGAGTTGCGGGTTCGATCCATCCATTAGTCTCAAATTCCCGAATTCTCTCTAACGCGAACTTCCGTTTGGTTAGCAAGTATCGATATGTTGCAATGGATCAGCGGATGAGTTTCGGTCTGTATTTCATGCTGGATTACTACAGACAGCCCGATGTTTGTATCTGTTACACTAATCGCCCATTGATATTTGGCGAGTATATCGGCAATCAGTCGGTGGATCTCATTTGGTATATATTGTAGTACGTGCAATTCGTATGGTTGTCCATGTATGGTAACTGCCACGCACTTCGTGCTGGCCCGATTACTGTTTTCCTTCAGGGGAGCATAAATGAAGGAGTTATCCGATCGCCAGAAAAATACGGTAGCAATCATTTGTGCATCTTCTTCTCGGATGACCACGTGCTCCTTAGGGGTCACGCCACCCCTGTTATCCGGCCAATATGCCGGCCTTTCATGAATTTTAATTCCGAGTTCGTACATTAAAGGATCATCACGCTCCGGGGGTTCCGAAGCTTCGCTTTCGGCCCCTAAACGTAGCAATCTCACCTCCTTTCCCGGAGTCAGTAGGGAACGAGGCAACCCCGTAATGTCGCACAACGCCTTTTTTTCTCGGTATCTCGATAGGAGAGGGGTGGTTGCTTCATATAGGGTGCGAGGGGGTTCCAAAAAATCAATCATCTGAGATACTTGCACGAGTGGTTCTCCAAAGATAAGTGCTCGAGTCCGTTGCAGATTCTTTTCAGTGAGGACGAACGTTTTAGTTGTCTTATGCCGAATGGGGTAGCGGATCGAGAAGTGCACCATATCTTGGATTAGAGGGTTCGAAACATCTTCACTATCAGAGGAGTTGTTGGTCGGTGCAGATTTCTTTCCTCTCGCCTCTTTCTCAGGTTTCGGCTCTTTCCACGTGATCACACGGAGAGAGCTCCTGATTTTGGGTGGGGGTCTCAGTGGTAACGTGGTTCGGAGGGTCAAGCTCATTAGGACAACATATGGCTTCCCGCTTGTATTCCAAAGAATAACACTACGTCTTTCAAAATCCAGGTTAGCTCGTAGTGTCGTGAGAGCTTGTAATCCTAGCAGGACATCGTAGGTGTTTACATCTAATACTACTACATCCCCCAAAACGTGAACCCTCTCTAGTCTGAAAGCCAAATTCATCATCCTCCCCACTGCTTTAATCTTTTCTTCGTCCGCTGAGACAATATGGTCTTCTTCTGCTAATGTAAGTAGATCTTTCTTTCTCCCAGCCCGTTCCACGACTCTTAGTGAGATAGCTAGAAGCCTAGGACTGCCGATCTCGAATCAAGGATAACATTGTACGAAATTCCCCAAACGTCGACGTTACATTCTGCGGATTTCCACGGGATGGTTTTAATCCGTAGTAAATTGTCATTTTTTTGTATTATCCCTAACCATATCGGATTCGACGTGTTAGAAGTAGTGGGTCTTTCTTCGATATCCAGGGGTTTACCCTTTTGCCAATGGGTAGTTAGCTTGGCAAGAGCAAATCTTTTCGTGTTCGCTTTGCACTGCTGCAACATGCGTTCGTTGGCCTGTTCGGATATGGTCAGCACGTGCCCTATGGGTAATGGGATTCCGTGGTCCAAGGCTCGGACAATGTCCAAAATGTCGATTTTCCCGATGACGAAGCTGGGACCACCCGCCTCCATCTCTCCTAAGGACGGTCTCCATTCAGCCACTTATTTTCGTTCTTCCGCCGGCCGGATTGTCCCAATCATCCCCAGTCCCGGATATCCCAAGGCAACGTATTGGTCGAGCGGAATGAGTTCCGCTGCTTCCTCAGTAGGGGCTATCGTACTTCCTCCATTGTTGATTTCGTCTCACATCTCTCCCACCCTTCCAGGCCCATTTGCCACGGGTGCAGCAGCCACCGGGGCCGCTCCGACTCGTGGTTGTGCGGGTCGGTGTGGCAGTCTCGAGCTATGTGGCCCGGCTGATGGCATGTATAACAGACACTTAAGTTGACTGCGGCTCCGCCCATAGCCTGGGCAGCGGGAACCGCTGCTTGCGCAATGGGTGAAGCTCTAACAGCGATAGGGCGCACCGAATGGGTGTTCGCATTGTTCCTTTTTGCTTTCTTGCATCAAACTAACTAATGTGCGGGTTAGTTCAAGCACCGCAGTATTTTCATTTGTCGGAAATTCATCCTATTCGGAACTTCGTGGGAAGACACAGGGGCCGCTAAGACTTGTACAGACGTTCCTAGAACGGCGTCTGGTAGGGATTTTTTTGTCCAGATCTGCTCAAGATAGGTGACGGGGCCAGAAACGAAGCCCATGTTTTCGAATTTGTTCTAAAGTGCTGCCAACTCGGCCCTGGCTCGAGCCAGCTCCGAAGAATCCCCTTCTCTGGGAAAATCTTCTCCCTCTAGGAAACTGACAGCGAACTTTCGCTCCATTTCTTTGGCTGCGGTCATAATTTGTTGCAATGTATGGTTAATAGGGGAAAACTGGTTTCGCAATTTCGCCCGTATGGCTCTGCTACGAAGCCCATCAATAAACATATCTCTCCCAACTTCTTCTCTACGTTGGGTTTTGACAAACATCCGGTAAATACAAGGTTTCCCAAACAATCTGGGCATTCGGGGTGTCCCGAACAGCCGAGCCCGAATGCCTGAACGTTGGGGACCCCCTCTCCACACGTTCGGCCGTTCGGCCGATCGCAGACCCAAAAAAAAAAAAAAAAAAAAATCAAAAAAATATGAAAACAATATATGTTATGCATAAGAATAAACTTAACAACATTTGTCTCAACATTACATCCAAATTCTTTACCAAATTTGAAATAAAAATCAACTACTAAAAATAAATAGTAATGATAAAAATTAGGGGAAAACAAACGGGAATCAAATTATTGAGTGGGCGAGCAAGTTTTTGACACCGCCATCTTTGGCGATTTTTCGTTTTGTTTTGGCTATGACAAATGCCATGAAAATTTATGTATTTGTAGCTTACATAATAGAGAATTTAAAAAAAAAAATAAATAAATAAAATAAAAAATTAATGCCCCGAAATAAAGGAAAAACAAAAAGTCAGAAGTGAGAAAAAACAAATTAGCGAGTGGGCAAGCAAGTTTTGACACCACCATCTTTGCCAATTTTTCATGTTATTTTGGCTAAACAGAATGACGTCAAAAGGAACAGGGAGATATCTTACATCACAAAGAACTCACACAAAAAAATTCAGAAAACATTAATAATATTTAGGTGCCAAAATAGTTTTTTGTGGGGTCCAAACCCTTTCAGGTTCGGGCCCCGTACGGGGACCCAAACATAGGGGCCTCCGTAGGTTCGGTCTGGCAACCCTGTATATATATATATATATATATATATATATATATATATATATATATATATACATATATATATATATATTCATCGGGTTGTGGATCTCAAAAAGATCTACAACCCCATATATTTGTTGGCCTTTAAAAGGATTTTTGAAAAAA